CTGTGTTTAAGATGCAGATTTGAAGACTTGAACTACCTACCACACCACCACAAAATACATACCGACTGTAGGCCTAGGCTTAACTGGTGGATACTTTTTAACAAGGGGTTTAGCCAGAAAAACGAAATTGGCCGTCCAAAATATGCTTTTAGCTTACCGGTAATGCAACTTTTGATAAATTCAAAGAATATAAAGACCTGGCCCAAATGGAGTAGGCCCGAACTCACTAGGCCAAGACGTCAAGCCGTCACAGTAAAAGTGGCCCTCCTAACTAACTGACGGCTCACTGGCTAAGCCCTTGAGTTTCAAACACTGATGTCTTAAAGCCAATTTGTTTGATATGTCGTACAACTGATTTTTCTGATCTAACACAAAATGCATATTTGACGAATACGATAACGGTTAAAGAGATACAGATTTTTTAATATTTAAAAACTGGTGCAAAAATGGGTGTAACCACCCCTTTTTATACCTTGTTTCCCCCAGTTTTTAAATATTCAAAAATCTGTATAGATCTCAGTAATTGTTCCCGAGTTTTCCGTCAAACATGATTTTTGTGTCTTTGAATAATCAGTTGTTACAAACATATATATATATAAAAATTCCTCTGGAGCCTAGTGGCTTTTGAAGATTTGAAATTTATGACATAGTAATGTTTATGTTATTAATAGATCCTGAGAAGTGGCAATTAGTAGCAAAAATCGTAGTTATACCCAGACTATTATACTCTACTGGCTACTTTAGCACCATTATGGTGAACATCTCTCTATGGAGCTTTTATACAGTGTATAACCACTAACTGTATATATGCATCATCCACACATACAGCATTTCCATAAAACTCAATGGCTTGTTTGCCTTATACAGTTACACATCTTTTTTTCAACTTTTCAATTCTGTTCAATAAACAGCATATTGAGACTGTTTATATAAAATTTATTACATAAAAGCTGGCAGGGTTGACATACAACTTTATATAACATTGCTTTCATTTAATTTTAAGTTAATCGTAATAAATAAATGTAATAAAGGTCACAGAAACTTTACCTACAATTTTATCTACTGTACTGAAATAATTTTCCATAGATCTTTTTTTTTACTTTTTGCACATGAGCCTGAGGCCATTTATTTCACATTTTTTTCATTTCTAAGTTAAACATATTTACCTGTGGAAGGCAATGTAAAATTTGTAAGTACTGTTCTGTAGCTAGTCAGTGTTACGCACATAACATTAGTATTCGTAGTGCAAGAAACTAATTATACATAAACTAAAAGAAACAACAATTATTCAAAAAGTCCATAATTTTTCCTTTAACAGAACTTTGCTGTTTCCTAAGCGCGTACAGTAAGGTCTACTGCAAAACATGGTAGATAATGCTGTAGACCGAAAAAGTGATTAGCACATAAGGCAAAATTTAAAAAAATGATTAGTTTACCACCCTCATCCGTATGTCTTCTATGGTATGGAAAAAAAAGCATTTTATTTTTTTTTTTTAGTAAATACTGTAGTTAGTAGATAGTTTGTATTATCTCAAGCATGTATTTTACACATTTTCAGCCTAGAATATGGTGATAAACTATTTTTTTTCCCTTTTTTATAGGGCCAGCAATTTGTACAGTCGGTAGGTACTATAATTCCAAAAAGTTAGAGGGCATTTTTATACTTAGGATTGAATAATCCCTTTGAAAATTGCCTCATGCTTTGGAAGCCTAGCTTGAGATTTTTTTTTTTTTTTCATGCATTATTTAAATCCTTATGTTTCCTGTTTGGAGCCAAACTACTGTACAAATGTCCATAGATCATTCTTTGGTATAAAATAGGCTTTAGCAATAAAACATCACCATGGGGAAGGGGGTGATAACAGTGACATGTCAGTCTCTCACTAAATGAAAAAAAATGCCAAAATGATAGTATCCAAACTGAAACAAAATAGCATTTCAGGGAGAAGAATATGTTTTGTATATATATGAAGACCATGAATGATCAATCTTGCTGTAATTATGTACATTGTCCTTTGGAGGGGACATTAAGCTCTTGGTCTTATTTTACACAATGGTTGTGTGCATGAAAAACAATTTGGCACACTATTTTGGAAAGGAATGGAGAAATGTTCCATCCAAGTGCTTAATTTATTTCCTGTCATTTTCTTTGTGTAAATCTCTGTGAAACCGTTGAGTGAAAAGACTACATTACTGTACAAAGCTGATATATATTTGCTATCGGTAAATGGTTGGCCCATATACTGTACTTATGATAAATAAAATTAAAATAAATTTTATTCAAAATGAAATACTATAACACTATCATTAACAAACTTTTCTTGCCTTTTTGTCCAAACACAGATTGAGTATGAACATTAAAAGATATGTGTACAACATCTAGTCTATACCGCGCAATACCGACGCTTCAGATGTCGATATGAAAATCAAATTTGAATGAAATGAACAAGATTGGAAAAGCTTACCCCAGGCTAGTGAGAACCTTTACTCCAAGCTTATACCGGCGCGCAATCCTTAAGATCCAATAACAAAAGATCTTAGCCTGATAAGGTCAGAGACTTCATTCGAATACAGAGAGAACTATTAATTCAATTAAAAAACAAGCAACATCGGATCTGATGATGTTTAAAGAATTCCACTCACACTTATTTGTGAGTTCACGCATGGATGGTTTCTCGTCTACATGCAGCTGATGTCACTGAACTATAGGTAAGTCTCATATACTAAATTCACATCAGATGAGTCACACTTTTAAGTGTCGGCAACACTTGTAGTTTCACAATCTTCTTATAAAATTGAAAATACTGTACAGTATTCACAATTTTCTGTCATTATTTATGTTGTTCTAAAGTAGACTGACACGGTTACACTTTTTATTCATCATGACAACAATTTATCTGAGTGCAGGGTCTGTACAGTTAAATGGCTTGATACAATAAACAAACTATACATGAACAATGTACAGAGATATATTTATTGAAAATCCACTAAAAAAGCATATAACAGGAGTCTAGACAACTAAGTTAACATTGGAGAGCCAACCAGGTTTTTAAAATTAAAATTAAATGATTATATTAAATGCATGTTACAAACATTTGTTTGTTTTTTGAATGTTTGCTGTCTTTTTCTTTTTAAATCAGAAATTTTAATGTTTGTGCATATTAATTAATATCAAATTTTTTAAATAATAATTGTAACTCATTAAAATAATAATAAGATTGACTAGTTTAATTGATCTTAATAATGATAATGACTTATTGTAAATTTAATTCAGGTATTCTATTATGTAAATTGAATCCCCAATTCAGCCTCTGGCTGCTAAGGATTTGATATTGTAGTTGTGTTGTTTGAATTTATGAATAAAAGATACCGAGATAAATAAATATAAACATGAATTTATATAATACAGACTAGCAATTGCAATTTGCAATTTTGTTTTATTGTGTGTTCAACCTTTTGTAGTTTCTGTGTGTTGACTTTCTATTATTAACTTTTTTCTATTTTACGTAGTGTATCAGACAACAAATTTCCAATTGTATGTTATATAATTTGGACAATAAGAGTTTTTGAATTTGAATTTTATTTTAGAAATGACTGATTTTGTTTGGTTCTTACAATTTTACCATTTTCTTGATTTAAAAAAATGTATTTTAATCATGTGTGATAGTCCATTTTTCAAGTTTTTAACTAAAAATTAACAAAAATTAAGTGCAATACTGACAGTAAACAGGAGCTTTTTGAAAAATTTTTAATTTTGGCATCTATGGTGAATAGATGATGGTTGTGCATGTGACTAAACATACAACTGGTGTATTCTAGCTGTATGAGTATAAAAAGTAAGGAGAAATGGCAACGGTTTTGTGCCAAGTTTGCAAAAATGAAATTGAAGGTAACTGTCTGTCGATAAATCTCATAATTTATCTCTTATCACATAACGTACTGACCCCGCCTCAGCCATCGCAGTCAAGAATAGAATGAACTTTAACTGACCAACTGGTCTAGACTTCTTTAAAATATTTCTCGTCCCATAAGGTTCGCTGATCTTAAAGGAACACCCGTGGTTGCATCAATGGGGATTGTGGACGGAAATTAGGACAGAGTCTAAAGACTGTATTCAGCTGTAGTTGACAAGTTTAGGATATTGATCCAAATATATGAAGACAAAAAATATGAACTACTATACGGCTGTCATGGAAGTTTGGTTAGTAATTCAGACAACGTTATTTTTTAAGTACATTTTAAGTATAATTTTTTAGTTATTGTTATTATTTATTGTTTTATATTGTATTGCAATTAAAAAATCTTATTAAGAGATTTTGAAGCTGCAGATAAGCATTATAAAAATTATATTTGAATATGAAAAGCAGACTATAGAGTACTTTGAGTCCTCTTTTACATGGTCTACGGTACTTTGATATTGTGTTTTAGAAACTGAATGTTAGTCCAAATTGATTTCAAATTTTTTTAATTTTTTTATTTTATTACATTTTCTTTCAATTTAGTACAATAACGTGTTTGTACACATAGATTAGCCTTGGTCTGGGTCGTAAGTACTGTATGTACTTTAAATTATGTGTTTATTTGATGTGTTTTACCAATAAAAAATATGTGTACTAATCACTATGTACAATTAAATAGTTACAAAGTACAGAAAATTAAAGTCTCCATAGAGCAGACGAATTCGACAAGGTCAAAGAAAAAGTGCAAGTTACCCAGAAAAAAAGGATGTTGACAGACTCTGTCCCAATTATCATACAACATTCTTAGTTGCCATGGTAATCCAAGAAACACCTTTATTTGATCTCAAGAGAGTAATAATAATAAAGTGTTTAGTCATTGATTTGTTACAGTAGATGTACACCAAATATCTTGACAATGTTACTGGCATACAGGAGCAAACTGTTCTATTTTTTCAAGCATCAATGTCTGAAATAACATCTAATTTCATTTCCTTTTATAATTATTTATTAATTTTTCACACGGCAATCCAATGTACTCACCTCAATTAACTATCAACCCATGGGAATGGTTAGTCGTACAAAGATTTTGATCTGATATCAATAAAAATATCATCATTTATAATTCATATCATAATAAGTGTTGGAGGAATAAGTCACATGCGACTATAATTCTGTCTAAGATTTGAAATCCTAATTAGATATCAAATATCTCCTGGTCAATGAACCTTGATTACTGTAATTTCTGAAGACATTCAGCCTGCTAAACTCCTCATCAATAAAGTTTCAGACATATCCTGGTTCAAAGCAACTAATGCACTGATGATCAATGCATACGTTAACACTTTTTTTATATTATTTATATGCATAAATGAACAACTTATTGTAAATAATTGTGGCACCATGAGTTAACAATTATTCATAAAAGTTTAGAATTCAGATAAATTTTTTTTTTAGGCAAAGTGAGGAATTATTTACCGAATAAACAAGCTCCTAAAGAAATGTTAGTTTATTGTGAATTAACATCATAATGAAGAAATCAAGTTCTACAATGTGAACTGGGGGGAAAAATGACAGTGTAGTCTAGGCCACTGATGACTACTCGATAGCAGTCAGTAGCTGGAAAAACCCATTATAAGATTGGCTTTGAATTAGTCATGCAGTGCTAAAAAATTGTTACTTAAAAATAGGCATCCCCTAGAACATGCTTCTTTCTGCAAGCTAGCCCCCAAATTCAGCCTAATATTATATGTTCAACGGAGTTTGGCTTATAGCAGAGAAACCATGATATGCAGTGAGCAACACATGCTTTCACAGGTCGGCATTTATTTTTTGGGGCCATTGTCTCGATTACAACTCCTGAGCACCCGGTCGTCTGTGGCAGGACAAATGTATTTCCAGTCCCTTTGTTTGAGTCACCTAGGCAGAGGTCCGGGAATGCGCCAGGGTGGTGATGGATGGTGATCTCAAAGAGTATTTGCGTCCTATTTTGCCTATCTCTCACATCTATGTCAGGTCTGTCATAAATAAATATACATAACAATAAATAAATAATTTAAATAAAATTAATTAATTCAAAATAATTCGGAAAAAAGGCTACATGTACACTCTGCAGGTGGAAAACGGTGCCGCGAGCAGCTCTACCAAGAGATGGATACGTGCGCCTAATAAGATGACATTATTATTATTAAAGCTATTTTGCATTTGTATAAAATAAAAATTATTAGCTGTTATATCTAGTTTAGGTTTGTACATATGTGGTAAACTGCTATAAACCCAGCTACAGCAGAAAATATCACTACCTGTACCATTATGTAGCAAATATAGCACATCAATAAAGTTGATGTGCTACAGCAAACAGTGCTATATTTTTTGATGGGTACTATCACTGCTACTACAAACTATAAGCTCTACCTAATAATCAGCTACTACTACTACTATATATGCTTTTAATCACTATCTAATTTTAATGCCTTTTAATGCTTAACCCAGCTATAGTAGCAGACAATATCACCATCATTAAATAGCAAATATACTGTAGCACATAAAAAATAGTTGATGACGTGCTACAGCAAAATTTTTATATTTTGTGAAATGTGTGCTATATCACTGCTAACTGCAAGCTATAGCTTGACCAGCCACTACTACGACCAATCCCGCATTTCAAGTGAAGTGCTAATGTTTGTTTCAACACATTGGCAGGTTATAATAATTACAAAACAGTAATTTTCCTCAAGGCTTAAATGTTGTTATTAATATTAAGCTACACTGTCGCTACAATAGATAAACAAAAATGCAACCAACCAGCTTTTGACTAAAATAATGACCAATGTGTTGGACGCCAAAGGCCTAATTCTTTACACCACATTCTTTCAAAAATACAGATACCTGTAGTTGTTGGCTTGTTTAGTTGTTAGCTGATTTTTGTATATGAAGTGTTTTGTTTTTATGCCCATGTACTTACTTAAAGGTGAGATCAATATTTTCACTTAGCACACAGACATAAATCATCCCAAATGCAGTTCCAGGCTTTTTTTATAACCAAAGGAAAGCTTTTATACAATAATATTTAAACCATTTAAGAGACCTAGAATTCTTAAGTTGCCCATCAAAACAGCAACAGCATTTGAATAACTTTGCCCTCAGTAATTTCTTCAATTAAATTCTTAATAGCCAATTACCATGACAACCAACATATTCTATACTTGTCAAATGTATATTTATATTTGTTTACATTTCATTACATATCATAGTCATTTTGTCAATCTGCGCTTGAAGTTTGTAGATGCCTTCAGGAAAAAATGAATGTAGAATTTGAATGTTTGTAATGATCTTGCGGTGAATAACCTTGCCATGGATATCATGATTTTAAAAACCGCACTTAAAGGATTATGCAGTACATTAAGCACATACATTTCGAAACAAGCAACAGCGAGTTGAGCGATCAAATCGTTCACTCAACACGCAGATCACATCATCAAACCGTACAAACATCATTGTCACTAATAGAATAATAAAAAATATTTTTACAAATAATTCACGTTAACTCAGGAGGAATTTAAAACAGTTTGTAAATTATCACTATCGCCTGATGCTTTAAAAATTGTCATTTACTGCAAAAGAGGACCTGTAGGGTTTACTAAAATGGGAATACACATAAGTAACTTGGCATCATCATGCATACATTACAGTAGCTCACAAGAACAAGGATTATACCGCAAGGTCAGGGTTCATATACGAATGGTAATAATTCTATCAGTTCTCAATTCTATTTTTACAGAAATACTTTCTTTAATTTAACTTACTGTACGACTATATGGAAGGATTCACCAATTTAGTCTCATAATTATTCACGTCAATTAAAATTTGATTTTTTTTTTTTTGGAATCAAGTATGTTGGAAGTATACTATCATCAGCTACACTATACTTTTTTAAGAATTTGTATTTTTTCCAATCTACTATAATTCTGATTTTTCTGTATTTTTTAAGCAGCATATTTTGCTGTAGAAACAAAGTGTAGTACCTAAACATTTTTATAATGACAAGTAGACCTACAGAGTGGTGCAAGGTCAAATTAATCACAACGCATTTCCTGACTTGAACAAAACTAGACATCTACTTAACTTCAGTCTGTACATCGAAGCCAAAAGTTCTTAAACAGACATTAAATTAAAGCCAGGCTCCTGAAAAAAATTATTTTTGGATATGTTTTAGAACTGATCTTTCTAAGACACGAAAAGCATATTATTTGACAAAAAACTCGGAAGCGGTTAATGAAATGCATATATTTTAATACAGGGGTTCTCGCGGGCCATCTCCAGTCCGTAAGTGTGTGTTATGTGGCCTGTGAGAACAAGCCGAAAATAATATTTTCCATTAGGCCTGGGCCTAGATTTAAACCTTATTAATTTTGAATTTGGTTTGCCGACTACATAGGCCAACAGTATACATTGCCCCACAAATTGTAGCGATTTAATCAATCAAATCGGAAGAACTTTTGCAGCAAATAACACAGAAAACATTCGGCCTCTCACACAGTCGCTCACTTGTTGTTTCAGGTTTAGCCGGCTAGCACGATAGCATAGCGGTGCTTTGCTGCAGTGCCCATTATACGGAAAGGGTAACTTTCTTAGGTCAAGGCGCCCTGTATGAGCATCTACTGTAGCTGCTTATTATTTTCAAAAAGTTCTTAATTTGGGAAAAGTGAACACCCCTCAAACCTTTCCCCCCGGCACACACCTACACCACTATTTAACATACAATATTAAGCCTCTATTGCGATATACAGTACTATAGTTGAGAACACCCAATTTAAAAACTTGGGGGGGAAAAGTTGAAAAAAGGGTGGTTACGCCCCTTTTTCTCAAAGGTTTTATATTCAAAAATCTGTATCTCATTACCACTTCTGAGTTTTTCGTCAAATATGCTTTTTGTGTCTTAGACAATTCAGTTCTACAAAAATAATTTCCTGCGGAGTCTGGCTTTAAAACAAACTACTGTACAGAACATTCTTGGACCAATGGAGCCAAATGCATATCAAAAGCTATATTGAAAAAAAAAAAGCTATATTGTTTGTGTTTTTTTTTGTTTTTTTTTTTTTTTTTTTGTTTTTTTTTTTTTTTTGATCTTTAATAAAATAATTTCGGTAATTTTCTCTTTACATAAAATTACATATCAGTTATTACATACTAAGTAAGAGCAATTTTGAATTATAATAGGCCTATTTATGCTAATTATTGTATTGTATTTAAATGTTTTTCATGTTTATATTTATTAATGGGGCAGCTGACTCTCAATTAGTTATAGTAAAATTCTGCTTAAGCTGCCCCTGACCAAAATTTTTGTTGCACTGTACCTTTTGTAAATGTGTATTGGTCGAATAAATAAATGAAATGAAATGAAATGAAATAAACCACATCTATTAATATTTTTGGTTTTACAGTACACTGTAGCTGAGATGATACTGTTCTTTCTTGTACTGTACCGATATCCTGCTGTGTCGCAGCACTAATGATGAAAAACACGACAGGCGACCGCACATAAATCAACGACCTTGTTCGTGTATCTTAATTACACAAATACACTTTATTAGAGCAGCAATGTGGATCATGTAGTATTACATACTATCCATACAAAAAATGTACCAATAACACAATTGTACAATTCAACTTACAGTATATGTCAATTTCAGCAAGCCTCTATAGTTTATGAATATACATTAAAGCCAGGCTCCTGAGCAAAAAAACATTTTGATGTTTATACTGTACTGTACAACTGGTTTTTCTAAGAAGCAGAATATACAATCTGATTTTTCTAAGGGGCGGTTAATGATACAGATTTTTGAATATTTAAAGACTGAGGGAAAAGTTGGGGAAAAGGGTGATTACGCCTTTTTCCCCCCATTTTATAAATATTCAAAAATCTCATTAACCGCTCCCATGTTTTTTGTCAAATATGCAAATTTTTTATGTTTCTTAGAAACATCAGTTGTACAACAGCCAAATTTGTTTCTCCTCTGGAATCATATTTTTAGGAAGTTCAGATCTGCTTCAGCTTTCATTAGTTTCTTTAGAAGCTTCTCAAACCTTCTACA